GTATTCGTATATAATAACAATTGTGTCCATTATAATTACATTACGTGGAAGTTTTATAAGATTCTGTGCATTCCAAAAGCAATATTTTATTTAAGAATTAATGCTTAGTTTTGTAACTTTATTCGGGTGTAAAAGCGTCGACCGAGGCCTTTGCGTTTGTGTTTCTATGCACTGTTTTGACTTAGTCATGACGAGCACGTGCAGTCGTAGATGTTAGATATAAGAAGATGTGGTATGAGTGCCAATGAGACAACTCTCCATCCAAGTAAAAATTTATAAAAGTAAACCATTATAGGTCACAGTACGGTCTTCAACACGGAGCCTTGGCTCACACCGAACAGTAAGCTATAAAGAGCCCCAAAAAATTACTAGTGTAAAACCATTCAAACGGGAATTGCATTCTATGTATAATCTTACTAGTCAACTGGATTTTCTCGTCCAGCAGTAAAACCCGTGCTATGTTGGCTGTTAAATATGCAACCACATTAGAGTGGGATAGAGGACAACTTTGTTCATCTTTATTGAACAAACAAGTGCAAAAACTCTCCCAGGTGTCCGTAGGTTGCCTGTTGAAAAGCAAAATATCTGCCCGTATCCATAATACTCTCATTGTCCAGCAACAGTCTAAATGTCCACCCCTTCAACCTGGTCGTCCTGAATACGCAATATATAGTTAATGACGTTAAACAAGAATTAACCAATGAATCACAAATCTTAGAATCGTTATTGATCAATTAAAAAAAAATGTTAAAAACATTAAATAAAACACGAAGAAATAAAAAAAAAAAAACCCCGAAAGGACCTGGTATACACAAACCCTTGTATAACCAACTGTCGGTCAGTTGGGGTTCATTGACATCTTCCAGTATTTTATGTCGGACAGGTAAGCAATTGGTATTCTGATATAAGGCAGTATCATGACATTGCAGTTTATCTTAGATTACACTGACTGAACTTTTCATTTTTCCAGATTAAATGAGAACTATATTATTATACCACAAAAATCTTGAAACTAATTTTCTTATATTCAGAATTTTACACAATTTATGAATAGTTTATCCTTAGCAACAAAGATAATTTCAATTCGTAAAGATCAAATGTTAAATAAATTAGTAAACAACGACCAACAAATAAAGAAACACGCGTTGATGACCCGCAGTCCTACCTCTTTCATGTCCAATTTAAATTAAAGGACCCTATCAAATGGGTATGATGTGAATTTTATGAGCGACATTGAACCACCGTCCCTTTCACTTTTATTCAAACGTGAAGTCAATTGTGAATGGCATTGAAATTTTAACATAGAGGTATGCTTCATATTCAACCTATTGAAGAAAATTTTAATAATTTAATAAAGGATGGCATTTGAATTTTATTCTTATTCATTTCGTATTAAATGTAGTTTTCCTCTTCCATTTCAACCGCTATACAAAAACTCTCTATAAAACATTCTTCAGCAAAATAAGTACGTTTTTCAAGTTTGTAGAAAAATACGCAATTGAGTTTGTAGAAAAATACGCAATTGTTTTAAACCAGTTAGCATGTATCAACAACTTTCAACATGAAGTTTTAACATTAACCCATACCATTTTATATTTATATACTGAATGTAAGCTTTTTAATTTTCTCAGAATTCCAGATTTTTCTTTGATATAGATTGCAAAAGTAAAAGCAAGAACCAGAAACAGTCTCAGAGTTTTACATATTAAAATCCCTACCCCCTTTAAAGTCAGTTTGCTGTTAAAAGAACACACTATTGTATTATTTGCTATAGGTCATGCTTGACTAAGTATACTTGTAATACTTTGATAACGGCATTAACTTCTCCATCAAAGATTGTTTCCAGAACAATATTATAATTAACAGTTAACCTATACTTATACCGTTGTAAGTCATATTCACATTTGTATTCTCTTTTCTTTATTTTCCCCCCTTTTCGATCAATTCTTAATTGTTTTTGCCCATTATTCTGTATAGTATTGGTCCATTATTCTCTATTCTTTAAACCCAATTCAGACCCTCATATACAACTTTTGTTAAGGACTTGCTTTGACTACAGCACTGGTTTACGTATGCGGAGCAGATTTATGTCTATTTTCATTATATCTGGTCAGCTTATCCTGGAAAAGAGAGGCGAAAGATACCAAAGAGACATTCAAACTCAAAAGCCGAAAATAAACCGAAAACGCCATGGCTAAAAACAGAAAAAAGACCAACAAACTACAGCACACAAAACACTACATAGAAAACTAAAGACTGAGCAACACGAACCACACCAAAAACTGGGGGGGGGGGGGGGGGGGGGGGGGGGGGGAGTCTCAGGTCTCAGGTGCTCCGGAGGGCTAAGCAGATTCTACTCCACATATGGTACCCGTCATGTTGAATCTCGGTGACAAGTTTAATTCGGTAGGTCACATTCAGGTAAAAGGGGACGGGATTGTAGTTACGAGTTACGACAATAGGAAAATATCCGTCGTCATCTGTAAAACAGATATTCAAAACAGTCAACAAAATCGTGATGGCGTCCGTAAAATTTATGAAGGGATGATTTCACTTCACCACTTGGAACTCATGGTTTAATAGCTTCCTTGTGAACAACAAACCTCTATCAAGGAAATCATGATAGGAAATATAAGCCCTTGAATATCGTATCAACTGGGAGATAAATACTCCGTATGCAGGCGCAGCTGGAAAGTTGCTACATAGAAATGAAAAGTTCACAATTGGGAAGCTGAAATCATCTCTTTTGTCGTAAAGTTTTGTTTTTAACCGACCCTCATTGTCAATTTCTTGATGTAAGTCAAGATATAAGCCAGACTAAACTGCATCTGGTTTATCCTTTAAAATATCTCAAGTTCGATGGGATAGATGCGTTCAACATAGTCACCAAAGTCTGAATTATTCACTGAGAGGAAAATCATCTGTATAGCGGAAAGTGAAGTTAAATGATACTGCTAAATTCTTTCTTCCTAAATCTGTATGAAGTCAGCCTCATATGAATAAAGGAAAATGTCGGCAAGAAGAGGAGCACAGTTGGTTCGCATGGGAATGCCGATTGTTTTTTTTTTTTTGAAAATCACTTCCTCCAAACGTAACACATATGTTGTCAATCAGAAATCAATCATCTTGATAATGACAGTTTCAGAGAATTTTTTGTTTGAATCAGAGTGGTTTTTTTTTTTTAACAAAGTACGATTTATCCCTCCCAAAGACAAGATACGTTGGCCATTCTTTTTATGGAAAAAAGTAGGACCAACTCTTTCAATTTGTCTTTAGTTTGGAATGGGGAATACTTGTGTAAAGTGTAGAAAAGTTAAATGTTTTAACACTATTGCAAGATGAATGAGTCTTAGATTGTATGTACTCTAGATCTTTGGAATTTTTTAGTATCCACATCTGATTCACCCCACCTCTAGAATAGGTAGTTTCACAATAACCTTGAAGCCCGGCTGATAAAATTGATGTTAATAATTTAGAAAGAGATTTCGTGGACCACTTAGAAGACCTAGCAATACAACGTTGTTTGTAAGGACACTTATGTAGCTTAGGTATCCAAATACAGTGATGGAAGATCCAGTTCTTCATCTTTGGTTGAAATTCCAAAGGAACATAGAACAGACCTATGATTATCCAGGATTTCCTCCTTAATAAGTGTCGAGGGGTATATGTTGATTTTCCAAGTGAATTGTCAATACCTAATTCATTTATCAAGCAGTTTATGTAATGTGATTTAAAACGATGTTGTTTGGGGCTTTATCTGAGGGGACAACATATTTGTCATGGAGATAGGACAGATGTTTTGCAACATTTGAGTCTTTAAAGATTGATGTAGCATAGGTATTTATAGACCCATTCAGTGTTTTTAATTCTGATTTGTAATAACGACCTCACAGCCCTAATTCATTCGAAAAGAATATCGCGTTTAACCCATTGCCTAGCATAATCCTCGACTGATTCATTGATGTTTTGAAGTTGTGTTTCCAATTAATGGATTTATATATACATTAACTATCTGATTAAAGTAAATTTAATTCATGTTGAAATACTGCCAAAGACAACAAGCCCCATCTCTTTATTTTTATACTGTTAGTGACGTCTTTACACTAAATCCATTGGATGTTGGATGTGTACCGATTGATATTTTAGTCTAAGATGCATGATTTTTTTATAAGTTGTTATTGGCTTTGAAACAACTGTCAGTGACTGCGAGTACTCTCAGATATGTACGTAGTGTCTTTTTTGTTGTGGGGATGTATAAATACCCTGCCACATCCGGTCGGTGTTTTTGTTAGATTTTTTTCTGCTTTGTATCGATCAAATGAGTTAAGTCCTTTTCAACTGATTTTTATAGTTTGTTCTTATGTTGAACTGTTACACCACTGTCCCATGTTAGGGGAGTGTTTGACGCCAACAAACTGGTTTAACCCCGCCACATTCTGTATGTGCTTGTCCCAAGTCAGGAGCCTACAATTCAGTGGTTGTCGTTTTGTATATAAATCAGGCCGTTAGTTTTCTCGTTTGAATTGTTTTACATTTGTTATTATGGGGCCTTTTATAGCTGACTATGCGGTATGGATTTTGCTCATTGTTGAAGGTATAGTTCACTTCTATATAATTTCTATGTCATATGGTCTCTGGTGGTGAGTTGTCTCATCTTCTTATTTTTATATTTAAAGCAACTATATCTATGTTTGAAGTATACAGAGAATTAAACATGAATTCTGTTACTGCACGCATAAACAAAAACATTGACTTTCATTTTCATACCAGTAACGATCAAAATATTTAGATTAAAACCAGCAGCAAACATTAAAGTAAATATGTAGTAATTATTAGTTTTAATATTTCAATTTCGTTTAATGCACAAGGAGACATAACTTTCGTCTGTATCGGAGTGTTCAAGCTGTTAACTCTGTCAATAACCTTCTGTAAATTGTTTGCACCGAATTTTATAATAATTATGTTGTTGTTTTCGAGGTCAAAGGTCTGTTGATTTCTGTAATTTATCTGTTTTGATACAAACTAAGATTTCAGCAGAACTCCTTTAGTACGTTTTGATCTTCATAATGCGATAGGAAACCAGACCGTACGCCATGACTATAGTGTGTTTATTACCAGTGTTATTTTGGACTTCATTGACAACTTTTAGTTTGGTTTACGGTAAATATTTTATTTATTGTTTTTTGTTCTTAATTTCCTACCTGAAGCATATCTTTTGGTATTCAAGTGCAATTTTATTCTTTTTTCTTTTTTTTTTTATTTTGAAAGAAGTTTTCAAAAAAAAATTGGAGAACAAATTTCGCCCCGCCCCAGTTGTTGAAATCCATTGGATGGCATTCTCTGATTTTAAACAAAACCGCCTCGGTGGTCTCGTTGTAGCGTGTTCGCCTCCAGCGCGGGAGGTCGTGGGTTCGAACCCCGGCCAGGTCAAACCAAAGACTTTAAAATTGGAATTTGCCGCTTCTCTGCTAAGTACACGGCATTATGGAGTAAGAGCAAAGACTGGTCGGCTCGGAGTCAGACTAATCTGTCCGGGTTAGGTGACATGTCTATCTGCGGATTGTTACCTTCTGAACTACTAGCCTGTTAAAAATCAGGCCCAACGTGTCGGTCTAGTACAAAGCAGGGTAAATATTCATATTACATTAACATGTTCTCGTCCTGAATATGCATATTAATTTGCCGCTGGACATTAAGCAGCCATCCATCAGCATTATCATCTGATTTTAACGGCCTTAAAAAGGGCATGTACAATTGGCCATTGAAATAGCGCTCACCCTCAAATGTTGTAAAAAAAGCTGTCTATTGCCATTTAATGAAAAGTCCCAAACGCGTGAAGATTCCCGTTATACAACATTATATAACACTAACAATGTTTCATTTTGCGTAACAGGACAAGCTACAATTCCAGAGGAGGAAATATTAAAGTTGATTTTAAGCAACTATAACGATAAAGCACGACCAGGGACAGTTACCACACCAACAGTCAGAGTTGATCACACACTGTCACTCCTCAGAATAGTGGAATTTGTAAGTACATTGTAAAAATATGTATTTTCGGTGTGTTTGATTGGAATAAGTAGTATCCAACTAATCATATCACAATTATTACATTGAAATTATTTAAGTAGATGAATGCCTTCTCTAATACAGTATGGTCTAGTAGCTTTTTCATGCAGCTGTGCGTCATAAAGTCTGAGTTCACCCAAGTTTTTAATGAGATTTGCGTTACTTTCTTCGACTTATAGATTGTTGGTGCCCCTTGGTGTCTGCTTACTATTTTATACGGTATACTATTTATCCTTTTCAAAATTGTTATCTATATTTCTTGCATTAATATGATTCATGTTAGCTTTGTATTGTGTTCATTAATAATTTGTCACAAATATTTCATTTATTTAAATGGCAATTTAGATATTTGATTTGACTTGATATTGTCGTCATATATTATTGTTAAGTATACTAACATTATAATGTGTATAAACAATAGCTGGTTGAAGTAGTACTATAAACAAGCCGAACAGGATTTTCAGTACAGAATTGGACAGCCAGGTTATAAATATGCCAAAACCGTACCATTATTAATACAGTTAAACGCAAAACAATTATCAATCCTGTTTTTTAGAAGCATATACCTAATGTTTTATTAGTGTCTGTAATCATGGTAATCTTTATAAATACAGATATAGATACACAGCGTCTTAATCTAACTCCATTGCATTGACAGAGTTGTTGATATATAGTTATACAGAGCATAGATGTATACACCAATATATGTGCAGAGTAACTCTTCTCAGTTGAATTGTTTCATTAAACTCATTTCCAATTCCTACAGCCGCTTTATCTGAAAGATGGTATTTGATGACCTGTATGTTCTAAGATATTTATTACTTATAAATAAGAAGATGTGGTATGAGTGCCAATGAGACAACTATCCATCCAAGTAACAATGTGTAAAAAGTTAACAATTATCGGTCAAAGTACGGCCTTCAACACGGAGCCTTGACTCGCACCGAACAGCAAGCTATAAAGGGCCCCAAAAAGACTAGTGTAAAACAATTCAAACAGGAAAACCAACGGTATAATCTATATAAAACACGAGAAACGAGAAACACTTATGAACCACACCAACAAACGACAACCACTGAAAAACAGGCTCCTGACTTAGGACTTTTGATAACATACTACATACCCCTGCGTTTTTGTACCAACTAACAATAAGGAAAACGACAATAAATCTCGTTTTTGATAGATATAAATACATAAGGGGATGTGGAACAATGTATGATTGGCAATGAGACAAATTTCCACCAGAGTTAAAATGACGTGAATATAAGCAATAGCATATGGTCACCATACGGTTAAAATGGCCATTTACCGACTTTTATCAAAATTGCAGCCTATGTAAATCAATCTGATAATTTGAGCTTGGCATGAACATTAAAAAAATACTTGAATTTTAACTTGGTATTCTTTTTATACACAAAGGTTACTGACATCACTTACGGTTTGTAGTTTTAAAATATTTCAACACTGTTCTTTCGCAACATCTGGACCAGTCACAGACATAACCCCATAGAAGATCAACATGCAATCCGTTACATAATTCAAGCAAACACATATTGCCTTTACATGTATATGTTCCTGATTGTTCCACTTTTTGAAATACATGTTTAGTCTCATTGGCAATCATACCACATCTTCTTATTTTTATATTAGATATAAAAAGTAAGAAGATGTAGTTCGATTGCCAACGAGACAAAACTCCACCAGAGACCAAATGACACAGAAATTAACAACTATAGGTCACTGTACGACCTTCAACAACGAACAAAGTTCATATTGTCCCATGTAGACTGTTCTGAGTGTCTCATATTATTTTGAAGGGGTTTATAATTGTTAAACAAATGCATTATCATTGTGTTTGTTAATAATTGTCATCAAAATTAATAAACGTCTGAACATATTTAAACTACTAAAAGTAATTTCAAAAATAATAAATGAATTTTTAAGTAGCAGAAAGTACAGACTTTAATGCTTTTGTAATTTCAAAAGTAAAAACATTTAATTCTATATATTGATTATAACATAATCAATATTATGTGATAGTTCATTATACTAAAGTAGTTGTATTATCATAGCTTGTTTTGATAATTTTTTTAGATATATTGTGGGCATAGTGAGGAGTTTGATATGCATATTTCATTTTTAGTGTTAACAAGAAATATCACTTAAAGTATACCGATATTATATTTACTTTTTAATTATAGACTATTGTTTACATATATTATTTCTAATTCATATGGAATGCATAAATTGCAAGAAATACAACAGACTTCATCATACATCCGTCGATGCTGTTTACTTATGATATTTTGGTATTACACAAGGTCATTCGTTTCTCAAACTGTTTATGAGGTCTTTACACTTAATCCGTTGGATGTGTACTAATAGACACTTTAGTCTAGGAGAACATTATTTATTTATTTGTTGTAATAGGCTCTGAACAAGATTTCATTAACTGCAAATAATCTTATATCGGTGTTTTGGGTCTATGTTTTGTATGTTAATTGGTTATATTTCGTGTGTGTGCTCCGTATCGCTCTATTGAGTTTTTTTTTAGCCATTTTCAATTGATTTTTACAGTTTGTTCTTATGTTGAGCTATATTGTCTCGGAATATGGGAGAGTTAAGAGCTCACAATCATACGTCCCGCCTCATTCTGTATGTGCATGTTCCAAGTCAGGAGCTTGTAGTTCAGTTGTTGTCGTCCATTCATGTCTGTGATATTTGTTGTTTTCGTAAATTGGATTTTTATTAATTAAGTGTACGTTTTCTCATTTGAATTTTTCACATTTTTCTTGAAGAAGGCTTTTATAGCTGACTATACGTTATAGGGTGTTCTCATTGTTGAAGGCCGTGCGGTGACCTATATAATTGCTTACTTCCACGTCATTTGAACCCAGGTGGATAGTTATCTCATTGGCAATCACAACGCATCTCCTTATTTTTATATTATTCAACTGCTTAAAAACAGCGATTCACTAACACACAATTCTAGATTTTTCGGTAACTTATCTCTTTCAACTCTTTATCAACAACGTGCGTACAGTGCAAAGATCATTATACGGAGTCTATCAAATAACTATTTACAAAGAGCCATTGATTTACCCACTTTTACGCACGTCTACATCTCTCTCTCTTGAAGTATGGGAGAAGTTTTGTAGCACAATCACCCTGAATTTCTTGCAAAATTTTTTTTTTACCCATTTTTCGATCATTAGCTAGGATTTCAGATGAAGCTTTACCGCTCCGTGAATGACGTCCGTTTTGGCTGTGCGGGATGTTCACATTATATACATGTTGTATACTGGTACATTGTTTGGTGGTTCGGGATATATAAATAGACAGTTGCATTCAATTGAGAAAATTAACCCAAAGATACAAGATTGATTTTAAAGTGACATTACTGCCATACACGAAGGGGGTTCGGTGTGCTGTAAAACCTTATTCAATCCATCATTTCAACCCTGTTATTAGGACGGACAATTCTGATTTAGAATATAAATCAAATATCCGTTTTCAAATTTCATCTTTGATGATGTATAAAGAGTTCAAGCCAATTTATAAGTTTATTTTATAGAGCTTAACTAATTTATAGCGTATCTCGTACAAAAAATATAATTCACTTTTTAAAGACATGTAGTGTAAGTTCTTTCCCAGATACAATGTCTTTTATATTGACAGAACATTTGAGAAACGATTTAAGAAATTGAAAACGGGGTTTTCTTTTAAATCAGAGTGATCGGCCGGTGAATAGTTGTTTTTATACCATATTAATGTACAGGTATTTAATAAATTATTTCCATTTTTTTAATTTTCAGGGAAAGAAGACACTAACAGCAGAAGTATGGCAGGCGTTACATTGGAAGGATCCTCGACTAACATGGACTCCAAGAAGTTACCATGGGTTGCAGTCACTCAGTATTCCAGCAGATAGCGTGTGGTTACCCGATGTTGTCCTCTACAACAAGTAAATATGTTAAAAAGAAAAAAATGTTTCCGGTTTCTATCAGTTAGCAAACAACCAAATGATTATGCTAGCTTATTTTGAGATAAAAAAAAGAGAACTATTTTATCCAGTTTATTGAACACACCGAATGCGCGCATGTCACTATAATTCAACAAAAGCCAAAGTAGACAAACGTTTTTATTTTTCCAGTGCTAAAATTTACCCGACTTGTTCATCTCGTCCTTAGTGTTCAACAGTGACAAAGTAAACTTCACCAGTCTGAATAGAACTCGACATATTCTTAACCCTTTTCAATGAAATATTGTATAATATAATACGTCCTTTCCATAATCATCCTCGGCCAGTTGGTCCAGGTCAACCGATGCAACTTCTAGTGAGCCTGTCTAAAAATTAAGAAAAGAAATTCTTTTTTTTTTACCTTTTAACACAATTATATCAAAGTTTATTCGATTCATAATATTCTTATTCTTTTATTGCCAATAGAAATTCGGTATTTAACAGAGTACAAATTTAAAAAAATGTATGCATGTAAGATTTAATAATGTGTAAGCAGTCTAGAAGGCTACTTAAACTATTCCATTAGGTACACAACTCGACGCCATACAACCATCCATCCATCATTTCGTTTAATACTTACACTATTTTTTGGTGTTCCAAAAAAATTATCATTGGTATTATCTAAGATCACAAATAAACCACTATTAAAAGAAATTGGTCAAGTATACTGGCCGGCAATGGAGAGGTAGGTTTATTTTATCAAGCTGGATAAAGGTCAAATAGACCATTTACGTAAACATGGTAAATTTTTCCTGACATTGACATTTAACATTTAGAAATAATTATTTCGGATTTACAAATACTATTTTACATTAACAAAAATATACTTCCAGCCAAAAGTACTGAAAGCGTTTTTACCTACAATAAAACAGAAAAAAAAGAAAATTCATTATATATGTATGTATATATATATTTATGTTTACCCTTACAAATTCCAGATAATTGATGTTTTAATATCATTGTACCGTATGTATATGTTAAGTCAAAATATTGCTCTAAACTTTACAAGATTGCTTTTTAATTGCAAAATAAAGTTTTTTCATTTATAAATTTCCACGACTATTGTACCATCAATAAACAAATAGTCCCAGTAATATAAATGTACAGTAACACAAGTTTAATGATTACATACATATTTTTTCATAAGGATTCCGTATTTTTGTTATTGGCAGACAACACGACAACGGGATGTTTAATGATGATTTTTGTGTCAAAATAAAACACAACATCCATGACAACACGTGCTCTCCATTACAACATTAAAACAATGTGTAGGAATTATAGTTCGCTCTAACGTCATACAAAATGAGTTTATGTCAACACTTTTACACCTAACTAAAACTACTAAAAGAGACATTTAACTCTTTAAAAACTAATACATATTTTGAAGGCCCTACGTGATTCATTCAGTAATGACAAACGTGTAAATTTCAGTTTCATTTCAGTGGAGGTAGTGAACAAGGTCAAATGAGCAATGTCAGAGCTACAGTATATTACCATGGTATGGTCTACTTGGTGATTCCTTCTCGAATAGTCAGCTACTGTGACAGCAGTACTCCGAATGAACAAGGGGACGTAATCTGCCAATGGAAATTCGGATCGTGGACTAACAATGGTTTGAAGGTGAATCTTACAAATTCTAGACCCCCTGACGTGTCAAACTACGAAGTGAATTCGGCTGTTGACGTATTGAAAGTTGATTCAACACGGAATGAGATATTCTACGAATGTTGTCCAGAACCATATCCTGATATCACTTACAAACTCACTCTTAAACGTAAGCAGTAAAATGGAGGATAGAAGAGAAGTCGTGGTTCAGAATGATTAATTGCGTACGAGATCAGTGAAGATAGGACATAAATAAAACTTTTGCAACATGTTTCGACTTATTAAATACTAGTATGTCCTCAATAAATAAATGAATGGGTCATTCATCCACTCGGTAACAGTGTATCTAACGACTATTACTACCTAATGTGACCCAAAGATCCAGTGAGAATTATTGAAATCACTTGACCACTTGACGTTCATTGTCCATGGTTTTTCATGCTTTCCGTTGGTATTGTTTGATTTTAAGTTTTTTGAATATATCATATTATATATATATATGTGTCATTTGGGTTACTACCACTCAGGGGCACCCAAAGACTTACTCTTTCACGATAAGAATTTACTGTGTTCAGTATTTTAACCAAACTGTATCCAAGGGCAGATATCAAATCAATCCTTACTATTTGTGGATTTTTTCCAAAGAATTTATGAGAATACATCATCAGGATCTAAACTGATTTTCACCTTCCATTATAAGTTTTTATGTGACTATATTTCTTTAACTTAAAAGATGAATCATTACTTCTAGACGTAGTGTATAAATAATATTAATCTTCAGATATCATTACTATTGTTCTGCATACAAGATATACGTATTCAGGTCTTCTGTCTCCTCTATTATATAAGGCTTTATATAACTAGTCTATGCCGTAGCCTTAGTCGGATTTGCATCCCTTGTATAGCATTCTGCGATATCAATACTTTCTCAAAATGATGTTTTATAACATGTTTTTTCAAACTGTAAAAGTCGCGGCTTGTACCGTATTTTTTTTAATAAAGAAGATTTTTTTTGTTTTTATTAGAAATGTTCTTTTAACTAACATACTAGTTGAAGTTGCCTTTAAGAAATAAGTCAGTAATACTTATAAAATATAGAGATGTGTTATGATTGTCAATGAGACGAATATCCAGCAGAGTCCAGATGAAGCGGGTTTAAGCAACTATAAGTAACCGAACAGCCTTCAACAATGAGAAAATCCCATACCGTATAGTCAGCTATAAAAGGCCACGATTTGACAAACGAAAAATAACAATGGTCTGATTTCCGACAAAACGATAATCGAAAAAAAATAGATATGACAGACAGCAACTTACATCAACTACTAAATTACAGGCTCCTAACTAGAGACAGGCACATATAGAATGTGGTGCGGTTTAACATGCTTGTGAGCGGTCAAATTTTCCCTCACCGGTGACAGTGAACAGCACGACATAAGAACAAACCGTTTTGTTTTTTTTTAAGAAAAAGATATTTAACTAGTAATTTATATAAACTGTGTTATAAATCTAAAACTATATTTTGTGACCTAGCTGGTCCTTGTTTGGCAAACCGAATACCTGTTTAAAGAGAGCATATGGGGAAAATACATTTTCCAAGTAAACATTACGATGATACATGGGATAAGTAAAGTGAAAGGCGGGTAATTCTTAAGTGTGTATAAAAAGATTTTCTCACAAGGTTAACAAGAGTTCAAATAGCCTATTTTACATAAAATGTGTATGTAAAATATCATTTGAATTTGCTTGTTAATGACAGTTGTCATTTAACCATACGAATAGCCTGTCATAGACATTCAGCAATAGTTTTAAAGAAAGTCAAAACATGTATCCGCTGTTGTATGTATCGTATTCAAATTGTAAACGATTAGTTAAAAAAAAAGTTTTATATCAAAATTTTATGACTGAGTAAAAAGATTAACTGATTTTTCTTCATTTGTTCAATGTATTAAAATTGATTACATTACATTGCATCTCATATTTGATGTCAACTCGGATAATAAGAAATGTAATGCATAATGCGTAAAAATCTGCAAAGAATTCTCGGACGGGCGTTCGTCCGTCCGTCCGAGAATTTTTGGCAGATTTTTATAAAACTTATATCATAGGTTTATATCAGCAATATCAGTGCCGATCAATTATTTTTAAAAGAGTTATGCCCCTTGCAAACATTAATTATTTGGAAAATTGCATCGTTAGTGCTCTCATGTGTACATTTCATGCCAGATTTTTTTATGAAACTTATATTGTAGGTTTATATCAGCGATGTCTTTGACGAGTTGGAAAATCTGTGCCGATCAATTATTTTTAAAAGAGTAAAGCCCTTGTAAATTTTAAATATATACGGGAAATTGCCTTGTGAGAGGTTTCATGTGTACAACTTTTGCCAGATTTTTATGAAATTTATATTATAGGTTTATATCATTAATGTCTTGGATGAGTTCGAAAATCTTTGCCGATCAATTATTTTCAAAAGAGTTATGCCCTTGGAGATATTAATTATATGAAAAATTGCATCGTTAGCGATCTCATGTGTACAATTCTTGCCAGAATTTTATGAAATTTATATCATAGTTTGATATCAGCAATGTCTTTGACACTTTCGAAAATAAGTGCTGATCAAATATTTTTATCAAGTTATGCTGAAGCATTCATTTCTCTAAGATATTTATTAACAGTTTTAAAGAACAAAACAATGTGTATTTTTTTAGTTATTGCCCTTGATCTTTGGGTAGATAAAATATGTGCAACGCGGGGGACATTGGAACTCTGTTCTTTTATTTTTTTCTCCTTTCTCTCCGCTTCGTTGGTAACCAATTTCCGGTGGCGATTATACACAGTGGTCGTCCCTTCTGAAATAACTGAAGTTGAACCGATTTAATGTTTTCATTGATTTTGGATGAACGCGGTTGACGTATGTACCCACGTTAAAAATCTTGAACATGATTGATGACAGAAATATCCTCTAAACGTATACAGGACATACAGCACGTGTTTGGTTGAGTGTGCAGGATGTATAAGAACGCAGACTTTCCGGGTAGGAATGGATACGTTAAATTCGATGCATCGTATAGTGAGAGGGGCCTGTAGATGGACCGTTGCAAGTCAACATTTCTTACCCTTCTTGTACTACAACTTCAGTTTCCGGTGCATCAAATCAAGAAGTGAAATAAAACAATGGTTTTTTTAGATTTTTTGTTCTTTTTCTGAGCATCAAATCAAGGAAGGGGAAGGATATCTTGTTTACTCTAAGTGGTGCGGACTAGTGGAATCAATAAACAAAAAAGTAGAATAAATCAGAGTTGACTCCCAACTTCAGTCTAAGGTTTCAATTTTATGTTTTCTTGGAGGTTGGTGGTACTCATCCCCCATTAAGTCACAGTATCACATTCCACATATGATATATACATGAAAACATTCTTCTATGTTTATTTGTTTAAAGTGTGTAAGCCTGTGGAACAGTCGATTACAAGATTGCAACCTTCAACGTACAACCTTTTTTTCAAAAGGTAGTCAAATCCAGCCCTTCATACCGGTGCATCAACATTGACAAACCTTTCTTTCGGCTTTATCGGTTTATTTGATTTCTTTCCCGTTTTCCCTTAAATACATGTTTTTGCTAAGGCACACGAGGCAGCAAACATTATCGATATTCTCAACACATTCAAGATTTTGGATTTATGTCCCTTTGACCATTGCAAACCACATGAATACAATGTACCAACATTGAAAAAAATATTTCAGTCTAGTTAACTAGAGAAAACTATTAGATGCATTAAAGGTCCTTTATAAGAATTCCTTTTTTGATTTGTAACCAGTTGGAATTCATGATGCTGATCTTTTCAAACTTCTTATTAACAAATTTTATTTTTTAAAAGTGTACTAAATCTGTTCGATCATATTTCAAAGTATACTGTAATAGTTTGTATATTATGTATTACACTTCTAAAAGCCTTATAAAGCATTTATATCCCACAATTTATATATACATGTATAAAGCACACACCCTAATACTGGCTATCGGAAAATCTATTGTTTTTAATGGCAATCAGGACCACTCAGAGCAATCGGAAATACAGATCCTATTGTGATAGCTAGAAATAGGCTATGAAGCACCTACAAGTCATTGGTATCCGACTACTATGTACTAACTGGACACTCAATTCTATATATCTAACCCATCATGAAATCATTAGAGATGCATACCGAGGGACTCTTCGGCTTGCATATGTACGTACATGTCAAATATTTTCAAGCTGTATTCAGTCAGGCTTTAATATTTGAAACCTCCCAAGAACTACTTATTCACAAAGGATATTTGATTTATATAAGAGCGTAGGTTTGGGTTTACATATTTCAAAATGATGGGCCAAAAATATTAGATTATAGATGAAAATGGCCTAACAAATTAAAAAAATACAGAAATGAAGACACCATCCTGACCCTCATATAAACCAGGGTTCTAGGATTTTCGAAGGCGAGTCCAGGGACTCGTCAATTTTGGCCATGGCGAGTCCAATAGTGAGAAGATAATATTTTTGTTGGCAATATAATTATTTCAGTCTTCATGACAAAAAAGAGCAAGGAAATGACATCAAATTTAGGACTCGTGGACTCGCCTTAAGGATAACCCTGTAAACGTATATCTTTTCAATGACACAACCCATGCTTCTTGAAAAGCTTCCTTCATCATATATGCCCGAGACCACATATTAAACAAATCGAGGGACAAAACCACAAAGACCTAGTAATCAGGACAGTTAAATTCTCGAAAGTCAAATTTGTATGTGTTACTGTTAACCTTAAAATTAGTTTTAGTAGGATGCAAGATAAAATTATATGGGATGTAAAAACCATTTGAAAACCATATTTTTTATTTCAAATGTTTATAGATATAAGAAGATGTGGTATGAGTGCCAATGAGACACCCCTCCATCCAAGTCAAAATTTATTAAAGCAAACCACTATAGGTCAAAGTACGGTCTTCAACCCGTATACATGCATTTATTTTTACAGTGTTTAATAAACACATGTTTTATTTGAACACATACATGGTCATAATTTGCTTCTTTTATATAAATATATATATAAGCCCAATCGTCGAATGACCGGAGCTTACAGTCATAAAACTTTCGAGTACGATTATCGTTATCAGACTCATAAACAACCAATACGAAAACTGGATTTGTTGTTTCGAGCGCATATTTCAAGTGTGCTGCGAGTACTTGGTAAACTCGGTAAAAAGGCCGTATGGTTGGCTATCATTGCTTACATCCACTTCATTTGAACTTTGGTGGATAGTTGTCTCATTGGTAATCATACCACATCACCGTATTTTTATTATATTTATGCCGGGTCGATTCGGAAGAAGTCCTGAATGACCGCTACTAAGCAGCGAATTTAATGTTGAATGTTATAAACTCTTGGCAACAGTAATTTTTGAAAACTGGAAAAATGAATGACAAAGAATCTTCCCGTTAAGTGATTACAAGAATTAAAAACGTATTTTATTGTTTCATTTGATATGATTAAGTATTCTCCGATTGCTTTTTAATTTGTTTAACGTTCAGTGGCAAATATTTCATGCACATTTCACTGAAACTTACTTTGTATGAACCGCGGAAAAATATTTTTTTTTATTTATTTAGTTCTCATAACCATGTTCAGTACTATTTCCACAAAACTAAAATAAAAAATCACAAAATAAAAATAATAATCACTGTGTTCATCAAACAAAAAGTGTAGACAAACAGAAAAAGAATAGAAAGAGAAAAGAAAAGAAAAGAAAAAGAAAAATTTTCACATTCTAATAAATTTCATTGGCATTATGTGCTGATTTATACAAAATATAAAGCATATATTTTAAATGTATGTGCTCTCTTCTACACCATCTAGTCCTATAACATATGACTTATTATATTTCCTATTTTGACGTTTTCATGCTGGCGACTCAAATAATAAAATAGCAAATAGCATAAAATGAAAAGAAAATAATAAAAAACAAACAAAAACACCGACACAGACAGAGACAGTAAATATCGCTGCTGAAGTAATTATGTAATAGAATATTCTCAAAATTGCCCCGTATAAACGTGTAAAAAGAATTAACAACCATAACATTATTGGGTTTCTACTATCTTTTAAATATTAAGCTGAATGCCCATTTAAAATAACTAAAAGGGTTGATTTCAACTTCCGTTGTCTCTTTTCAATTCATTAATGATAGCTTGACATGTGCGATTTACATCTTGTCTTGTGGTTTTGACACCTGTTTATAGGTAGCTGGAACATATTGCACACTAAAAATAACTCATTTTAAAAAATCTTCATTGTATCCATCTGATGAGTTAAGCCTTTTTCGACTGATTTTTATAGTTTGTTCTTATGTTGTACTGTTACACCACTGTTCCAGATTAGGGGAGGGTTGGCGCCTTCACATTCTGTATGTGCATGTCCCAAGTCAGGAGCCTGTAATTCAGTGGTTGTCGTTTGTTGCTGTGTAACATATTTGTTTTTCGTTCATTATTTTGTACATAAATTAGGACGTTAGGTTCCTCGTTTGAATTGTTTTATATTTGTTATTTCGAGGCCTTTGATAGTTGACTATGCGGTATGGGCTTTGCTCATTGTTGAAGGCCGTACGGTGACCTTTGTTGTAATTTCTGTGTCATTTGGTCTCGTGTGGATAGTTGGCTCATTGGCACTCATACCACATCTTCTTTATATATTAAGTTATGTTCTAATTGATTTTTTTTTATCTGTAGGTCTTCTTTTATCCTATATCATTTTTTGAAACTTAAAATAAAAAAAAAGAAGCTACTGAATTCTACAACAAAGTAAACAAAGTAAACAAAGGCTGACCATCTCTCTCGTATGACTAAAGACTGAGCAGCACGATTCCCACAAAAAACCGGGGTGATCTCAAGTGCTCCGGAAGGATTAGCTCTTCAACTGTTTCGGTTTTATTCCTCCTTGACTTTCAAATATTCTGCTTTGAGCGTTCCTGATGAAGGTAAATTCAGAAAAGCGCTTCGGACGCATGAAATTTATAACGTGTTGTTTTCATTTTTTTAGCCATTCCTGCTCCACATGTGACACCCGTCGTGTTGCTCATGAAAGTACAAACCCGGTAATAAAGTCTCATTCGGAAGGTTATAATCGAGGTGAAGAAGACGAAATTGTGGTTACGACAATTGGAAAATATTCGTCGTCATCTATGAAACCGACATTCCATAACAGTCAACCAACTCGAAGGGATGCTCTCAACTTCACCACTTGGAACTCTTGGTTCATTAGCTTTCTTTTTCTTTACATATATTTCATAATAATCTCATCGTAAATGCCAGATTAAAATTGTGTACGTCAGACGCGCGTTTCGTCTACAAAACTCATCATTGACGCTCGAATTTAAAAAGTAACAAGGCCAAATATACTAGAAGTAGGAAGTTGAAGAGCATTTAGGACCCATAATTCCGTTTTATAATTTGTGTTGTTTGTTTGCTCATTGACTTTCATCCCTTTACCATTTGTTGTCATAAAAAGTAAATCACGCTAGCAACACTATATTGATCTATATTATTCTCTTATTTAAATGAGTGTAATTTTTTGATTTTGGTATTCAATAATATGGTCATAGTTCCATTCGTCGTACCACCGACAGCTTCCGTGTGCATACTCATCACATGACACTCTAGGTGTTCCCGACTCCATTATGGGTATATGTGGTTCTGGGGGTCTTTTACCAAGGGAATAAAAACTTGTATAATAATACCTGTATTAATAAAAAATAATAAATTAATATTTGTTATGATTAAAAGGAGATGTGGGGTCAATAAGGCAGCAACCCAGCGACAAAAAACCAACATCATAAGACATCTAGAGGTCAACATGTTATCTTCAACAATAGATAAACCTGTTGTATAAAATATGTTAATTTTGAAATATCTATACATCTAAAATTCGTTTTATCTTTTTTATTTAAAATGTTTTTGTTAGAAATTATATTTCATGTCACTAACAATTAATATCCTAAATCCTCCAACTTTCAAAATGATCAGATTTCAATTTTATCTTGTGCATATTGATAAGAATTATTGTGCGTGGGTGTGTTATATGAGACGGCAACTCAATAGTACAAAGTTTAAAAAACAAATTTCCGATGTAGTTTTCTTCAATTAATTCAAATATGAGTTATTGAAGTTGCTTTTCTATTTGTTTAGTCTTGGACATGACAGTTTTGGTACAAACTTGAAAAATCGAAATTTAAAAAAAGAGCTTATTACAATATTGCCATTCTTTTTGGAAGGTGTTGTTCCTCTTGCTGTAACGTATGGCTTGTTTGTGCATTTCACAGCCTTTGAAGCTTGCTAGAATATGTTCTTATTAAATTTACTTCAACTAATGTAACCTTACATTAACACAAAAAATACCACGTACTTTTGAAACTTTCAAAATAATTACAGTCATAATCAGCATCCTTTTTTTGTAAATATAATGTTTCTCGTGATAAATACTATTAGACGGTACTTAATATCTCTCACCCTAACTTTTACTGGCATGTCGTCAATAGATATGAAAGACAGATAAAACTTTTAGGATAATTTTGTACATGTTTTTAATCTGGAAATTTCAACAGTAAAAGCTACAGGCGTGATTTACTCACTAATTTTAAAATGTTCTTTCTTCCTGTGGTCTAAGGAAATTTAATTACTGGCCATTCACAAAAACTGTCGGTTTTTAATCAAACTTTAAAATGAGACTTCATATAACCTTATATTAGGTTTGTTTCTATGGCAACAGTATTCAAACAGCTGTGACTACTTTACATGTTGTTAGCTTACATTAACAGCAAGTACGTTTTGACCTTGCTTTCCAAATAATGTCCCGTTACCCATTGGTGGCCTTGGGCTGTGTTCTGCTCTTTGGTCGGGTTGTTGATTCTTTGACGCATTCCTCGTTTCCATTCTCAATTTTATTGTATTTCCTTGTTCAAGTGAGTGGCCATCCTGTTGGCAGCTGGCATTGTGCGTGTTTTTATTTTGAGTTTTAGTTTAGCAACGTGTCGAAGATAGACAAAAAGGGGAGGTCTCGAATCTCGGGGCCAATACTGCTAACCTCGAATCTATTACAGGGTTAATACAAAAACGACTAGTTTATAATAACACTATAATATATAATCTGTTATCTTTGTATGCATGTCTTTTTTACCCAGGACGACGAGGGTTTTTTTTAACGACCTTGACTACCCATGAGGGTCTTGCTCGGTTGGTACAGGAGTTGGATCTTGGAGATTTATATGGTTTGTTGTACTGTCTAGTACTTTTTTTTATTCCGTTATTCCCTTTTCTGCATTATACACTTATAAAATTAATTCTTTACTACACCTACCATCTTTGTAGAATAAACTTATGACCTTTTGTGACCTTTGCAGCTTGGTGAATTGATAGATGTTCACATTTGCCTTTCTCGTTCATATTGTTCCATACTAAAGCTCTCCCTTTTCTCGGCTTCACCCATATTCCAAGTTCTGTAAAAATATTATTTATTTCCTTTCATAAATTATTTGTATATTGAACGAAGCTTGTCGTAAATCCACAATATGAACAAAACATTCTTAAATATTGGAATCTTCTTTTTTATACATTATTATATATAAATTAAAAAAAAAATACCTTCATAAAGGACAAGGTTAACTTTTGACAAATTACGACCTTGAATTTCAACTTGATTAAAACATACCAAAAAGGCCATAATCTGGTTCTTAAATATATAGGCGTAGTATAAAAGTCTTACTGCTAGGTAAAACAAATCTCTTCCCAAAATTACAGTATATGCTCCAAAGTCAGTTGATTTTGAAGATATTATCAAAATACGATCATTTTGTGTATTTTCCGACCTAAAAGGTGTAAGAAAACCTTTGCCGCAACCTACGGGCCAAATTGTTATGTAACCAAAATGTGCCAAGGTTGATATTGAATACCTGGCCACAAAAAGTTTCTTGGTCAGGGATGGCGGCCAAAGTAAATTATGCTAAGAACTATATATAAATTATGGAAAAATTGGACCAAAACTGACCTTACAACACGTAAAATGCATGATTAAATTTCTTAATTTAAAATGTGAGGTGACAAAAAGAAGTTATTTTTTCAATAATTCTAAAATCACAACTATTCCAATGTGACATTCGTCGTATTTGGATTGATTCGAAAAACATTAAAATCTTAGGGTAAATTTTAGCCCTTCGTGAACCTACTTCTTTGGCTGTAGTTGGTTCTGTGAGATTTCCTATTTCTATACAGTACCTGGAAATTGTGTTTCACCTCCTTCTTCAACATCTTGCAGATAAACTAAAATTGTTGCAAATCTGTCCCTCTTGTCTTTGTTGTCTTCTATACAGTCTGTATGTAACTTATAACCTTAAATGATTAATCCATTATTTAGAATGAAGGAGACGAAAGCAGATTTTAGAACAGTTAGTTTGATAAAAAAAAATGTTCTATTTTAATTGCAGAACATTTTGTCTTGATGATACACTTTTTATATATAATTCACTTTTAAAGACCCGTAGGCGTTTTTTTCTCGTACATCACGGTCAAAATCAAATATGATATATAGCTAAATAGATATTTTACTGAAATCAATGTTTGTGTAAAAGAATATTTTTGTCGTTGTTTCCTTTTTTGCTAGAATTTCAGACAACATTTATTTTTCTATCGTAAATTTAAGTTTCACATCATTTTGTTTTCTGTATAATATCTTACACATAAGGGAGCTCATATGCTCAGAAATAATGAGTAAATAATGAAAGCAACACATCAATTTCATGGTTCCAAAGCGCTTTTCAGGAGTTACCTTCATCAGGAACACTCAAAGCCGAATATTTGAAATCCAAGGATGTATAAGAACATAAACAGTTGAAGAGCTATAAGACCAAAAAGGACCTAAAATAATAGCCAATCCATCGAAGGTCTACTTTGCTAGAGAGAGTCGAAACATTAGTTTTGTAAAAATAGATTTTAATTTTGTTTCGTATTTGCTTTAATTTTGAACCGTCAACGGCACCAACACTATATGTAAACAGATATTTCCGGAGTATCATGTCATTCGGTTATGACACGATTTAAGAATTCACAATGACACCACAAAGTAGTTTGCAAAAAGATTATTTTTGTTCAGCAAGACATCACAAATGACAAAATTGTCGTACATTTATACCCAGTTGTATAATTCATTTATTCACGAATCAAACCTACATGTACCTTAATCTTGGAAAGTATTTTGCCTATTACAATGTATGCTTTTCCAAAAAAATTATTCCTCTACCTCCGCTTGTATATATATATTGGTGTTATCGCTATGATACAAACGATGAATATATGGTCAGAGTCTGAAGCTGAAGAGCGATCATTCATAATGTGTGTTTTTGTTGTTATTGTTTGGTTGCTTTCTCTGATGTTTATCCCTCATAGTTAATTAATTACTAGTGCAATTCGTAACGAATATTAGTCTTTTGCAATTAATTCATTTTATGGCACTGTGATAAAACACTAAGAAGCGATTCTTACCAACATTTAAAGGATATGATGTGATTTGAAATTTCCCGCCATTTTCAGGTTTCAATGCTGTAGCTTCTTTAACTCGATACTCGAATACGTTAGAGAACCTACTTTCTCCACGGTAAAATGCTGTACTATAACTCCAGTTGGAATGTATATAGTCTTTAAACTCGGAAGAAAATGTTTTATCTAGGCAAGTTGTTCCTGCAAGAATAAATTAAAACATATGAACACAATGTTGGTAACATATCTATGCTACGTTCAAGTAATATTGCTTTAAAATGTTTTAGCTGCGCTTAAACATATTTGTATATGATAATAAATATCAAAAATACTTTTTTTAAAATACATAAATGTACAAAAAAAAAAATTAAAATGAAATTCTATATCATTAATAAAATGAAAAATAAATAACAAGAGTGCCGACACGCTGAAATGTCTCGCCTGCTTTACTGACCACTCGGATTTTATGTTGAAAGTCTTAAAGATAAAGGTTTTACTAAAAGCATTACAGAAACTTAACATTTTTAAAGATCAATGACAATGAGGCCAAGGTCAGATAAATTGTGTCAGACAGACATATACACCAAATATAGTTGACCTATTGCGTATGCTAATTAAAAAAACAGACCAAAACACAAAAACTTAACATTGACCAATGAACAATGAAAATGAGGTCAAGGCTAGATTATACCTGCCAGACAGACATATGGTGCACCTTGCAATTATTCCATACACCAAATATAGTTGACCTATTGTTTATAGTACTTGAAAAACAGACCAAAACACAAAAATTTAACATTGACCAATGAACCATAAAAATGAGGTCAAGGTCAGATGATACCTGCCAGACAGACATGTACAACTTACAATAATTCCGTACACCAAATATAGTTGACATATTGCTTATAGTATTTGTAAAACAGTGAAAACACAAAAACGTAACGTTGACCAATGAACCATGAAAATGAAGTCTAGGTCAGATGATACCTGCCAGACAGACTTGTACACCTTCCAATCATTCCATACACCAAATATAGTTGACCTATTGCTTATAGTACTTGAAAAACAGACCAAAACACAAAAACTTAACATTGACCAATGAACCATGAAAATGAGGCCAAGGTCAGATGAAACCTGCCAGACTGGCATGTACCCATTACAATCATTCCATACACCAAATATAGTTGAGCTACTGCTTACAGTATTTGAGAAATGGACCTAATCACGTAACTTTAACCTTGATCACTGATCCATGAAATGAGGTAGAGGTCAGGTGAACTCTGTCTGACGGACATGTATACGTGGCAAGGAACCCATATATCAAATATAGTTATCCTATTACTCATAATAAGTGAGAAATTCACATGACAAAAAAAACTAATTTTTTTTCAAGCAGTCGCTGAACCATGAAAATGAGGTGAAGGACAATGGACAAATGGTTGGCAAGATATGAAGCATCTAGGTCTTTTACCTTCTGAAATATAAAGCTTTATACAAATAGTTTACGCCGTCGCCGCCGCTGCCGGATAGTAATACCTATGTCTCGCATACTGCGACTTTCGTCGAAGGCGAGACAAAAACAGATATCAAGGCAAGCACAATTCATTGTCAAAGAACAAGCAACATCATGGACAAAAGAAATAAAACAAAACCTGAGACTTCTAGAGGTATACTCTACATGGTGCCTATGAAAACAAAAAAAAAGCTAAAAAGTTGTATTCGAAAAAACTAAGCAAAAATAAAAAAAAAAGGAAAAATGGACGTGATGGTGGTCACGGTAGATGTAACGTATCATTGGTCAATCACATTCCTTGAAGAAATTCCATCAACCAATCTTTACGGTTCTCATACATCTTAAAAATTCGAAGAGATAACTTCAGAATATGAATTTATAATCTATGAATACGTACATTCCTCGAAAACAGCATTCGTCAACCAATAATGAATTGTCTTTAATACAGATACGGCACTGTATGATTCTATTGATGAAATACAAATTTAGGGAGTATTAGAAGAAAACAATCGGCGGAGATGCCGAGCTTGATAGTCGTTATCTTATACAAAGCCGCTTAAGAATAATTTAATATAAAATGATTACCTGGCATAAAGTCATTAGGAGAAACTTTGCGATTGACACCTGATGCTTGTAAATGTTGACGTAATGTGCTGACAGTGTCAAAACATACGATTGGATCTTTTTTCGATATTTCTGTCACGTGTCGGTTGTGTGCTTTCATCAAACCGTCACATTCCTCCACTGACAAAAACTCATCATACAGATATACTCTAAAATAAATATTTTTACAATTTAAATTCCCGCTAAAGTTTACAAAAAAAAAGAGGAAGTCAATTTTCCATGAGTGATACAATCATTAAAGAACTGTGTTTGAGTAATATTAGGAAATAAGATTGGTATCTTTAATACACCAATTTCATACAAGGAACTGTTTAAAATTTTGAGATAAAACATCCTCCAATCTGATTAAAATTCTCATCCATATTAACTCGAGTGCTCGTATATATAGGCTCATATGAGTATAATGAAATCAGAGAACTATATTTTAATTAGATTGTACATCCTCCATCTTTTTTTCCATACTGCTTTCCATTTTTAAGGCATTATAGTTGTTCATAATTCTTTTATGATTTGCATATTAGAGAATACGTTGATATGATTGGTTGAGAGGACTTCCGGTAGTTGTTCTTGACGTTGTTTATTTTTCGATAGACGACGTTGACCGAACTTCTTTTCGTAACCAATGTAAACAAGATGGCGGCGATAATGACACAATCCGGATCGACGTTAACAAAATTTATTTTCAATTCGCGTTAATAGGTCTTAATAGTTAAATTAAATAATAAACACAAAACATTCGTTTGAATGATAATAAGAGTTTTTGTAGTTTATTTTTTATCAGATTGCAAATTTCATGGAGTACATATTTTTGCGTTAACCAACAAATATATTTATGCGCCAGGCCTATTCAATGACACAAATATACAATTTACGTGTGATAGAGGTTATGAGTGTGGAAAAATAAATTCCTTGTCTCCAATTTTAAAGAATTATAAGGATTAAACGCCTTTTTAAAGGAATTTATTGGTGTATAAACTGTACCAAGTCACTCACAAACATATCATAAAAGTCCTTCGGACTATTATTTGTTTGTGAGTGAATTGGTCGAGTTTATACACCAATAAATTCCTTTAAAAAGGCATTTAATCCTATATTACATGTACACTGTACTCATGGTTTATCTATGTTTCTTATGATATGTGTCGTACAAATAAAAACAAGTACAAGTCCTGTCCCAAGTCAGGAGTCTGTAATTCAGTGGTTGTCATTTGTTGCTGTATATCATATTTGTTTTTCGTTCATTGTTTTGTACATAAATCAGGCCTTTAGTTTTCTTGTCTGAATTGTTTTACATTTGTCATTTCGGGCCTTTTATAGCTGACTTTGCGGTATGGGTTTATCTCGTTGTTGTAGGCCGTACGGTGACCTATAGCTGTTTACTAATATGTCATTTGGTCTCTGGTGGAGTGTTGTCTCATTGGCAATGATACCAGATCTTCTTATTTTTATATATACAGTCAGTATTAAATACAAAAAGAGTACAACTCACTTTACAGAACTGTTATTTGGCTTCTGAGGAAGTAATTCTACTGGCGGCAACCTTCTGCCGTCTGCAAATATCTTTTTGGGCGACATCCCTGTCTGCAAAGTACTTTTAAACCTGTTCATTTCTTCTTCAATTTTCGGATCAATTCCTTGTTTAACCTGAGGTTTCACCTTTTCAGGTGTCGATACACTTTTTGGATTGTCATGCTTCGGAACATTGTCAGTTGAAAAACTTTTATCGATGCTTTGAGTATTATCAGGTATCGTTTCAGTTTGTTTCTCACTTTTTTGTGTTTTATCAGCTAACGTATCTGACTGTTTGTCAGCTCTTTTTTGCATTTTTGATGGATCAGTCACAAAATTCGTTTCGTTACTTTCATCTGACACTGACATTGATTGAAAAACATACAAAGCACCAAATAGAACGGTTAAAAACAGAACAATTATAATTATAGTTAATACTGGTGTTGATTCTCGCCTGAAGTCGTTATGTATCTTTTCATTTTTTAATTGGGAATTCTTTGTTTGGGACTTCTTTTGAACTGTTTTACTATCCAATTTTCTGTTTCTCATGTTGATTATCTACAATATCAGGGGAAATATATGAACAGCTATGTTATTAAAAAAAAACCGTCAAGCATTTTTATATTTTCCTGTCGTACAAATCATTTAAAAAGTGAACCTTCTAATCTTCTTATACAAAATAATGCCGACTGTCTTTTAACGTCAGGAATATTTAGGACACATTAATATTAAAATGGTAAATGAATTGTTATTATTTTGGAAAGTAGAAAAGTATACAATTGACATATATGTGTAAAATGGTCTAAAGCCCTGAAGAGATGCTTATTTAATAGACCTTAAATATACATTTGCGGACAAGGATTTTATATAAAATTCAATCACCCATGCTTGTTATATTAGATTACAGATTAATTTTATAATATTAACATTGACAAACTGTTTTCCAATTTGCCAGATTATATCGGGATGGATTTTAAAAATAAATATAGACTTTGAAGTCTAGTAAATTACTTTTTGTTTAGTATGATATAACTAAAATATGAACATATTAAGATGTACATTACTAGGCTCCCTTTCTATCGCCTTCTTTGTACCTCCTTGCCATTTCATCAAAAGAACAGGTTAAAAGAAAGTCTTTTCGTATTGTTGTGTGTATATGCTTGAAAAAGTTCCCAACCTTATTCTGTGCACATCAGTAAAATATTGACATGTTTGGCTTTTGTGAGCAATACGCATGTGCATGTGTTATGCTGAAAAAAATTTCCTACAAAGTCTAGAATTCACAATAAACATAACAAAAAAGAGAATACTGGTTATCAATATATAAAATTCATATTTGGAATTAGGATGAGGTTGGAAGTAATTAGGCCTTTATACTTCTAGATGTGGTCTACTCATAAATGGGAGTACCTATACTTGCACGTCTGTCCTCTAAACCCGTTGAGAGTGTTTCTTATCTTTTCCCATTTTTGAAATAGCAATGCAAAGCTGTATCTGTCATGGCATGCTGATTAAGCGACACAACATATTATGTTGAAACCAAAAACAATGCATGCGCTTAAACGTTGTAGAGATTTTAATGTTCGTTTCTTATAGCCACTCAAAGACAGAAGAACATCTAAATGACACTATACATAGATAGTATAAAAAACAAGTATTTAATAGAATGAAGGAAATTGAAAAGGAAGTTCAAATTTACATATTATACAAATTTTACATGCATTTGATATCCAAATATAATTCATTTTGTAATAACCTATTGTAAGAAATACAAAAACATAAAATGGATAGGTTCCAATGTCACTATTCTTTTTAATTTATTTAATATAATACAACACTTTCTTGATGTATCGCCACTGAAACAAAAAGAAATTGTATCCTGTATTCTTCCTACATGTATATATTCACATCATATTACACATAGAATTAAATATATCTACTTTTATAAGTTTGGATTAATACTGTGTGTTGACTATTTATTGATTTATGCAATAATTACCACCTGTTCATTAGTGAAACAAAACATGTGGTATTTATCACTTAACAAGTCATAATATGGATTGACAGTTTTATTTGTAAAAAATGGTGTTTTCCTTAGTGGTGCAGATATCGAGTTCAGATATATCCAACATCATTTTGATGCGAATTATTGGGGATAGATGTAGGACTGTAAAAGTAGTTTTTCCAACTAGTATAAACATAAATATTGACCTGAATTAATCCCACATAGAATAAATCGAAAATTTCCCCATAAGCATTATTTCGTTTCTGAAAATTCTCAAGACATATATCTGGCATATCGTGTATTGTGCAAGATCGCATACAACTTATAATGAGTAATCTCCCTTCACACTTCCGCATTGATGTTTACCTAATACTTAGATACATTCTTCCCACTTAAGAAATGAACTCACTTACCGGGAAATAGTCTACGTTAAACTTCCTCTTTTAAAGAAATATTGTCGACATTGACATTTAACATTATCAAATTTCAATCAATGAAATAAAATATGAAATGAACTGGATCGGTGACGGATGAATTGATATACTCGTAATCTTCTTGTCAACGATAACAAATCATTGTGGAATTCCAAGGTTCAATGTGGAAAAGACATAATGTACAAGTTATCACTTGATGTATATTTAAGACGAGATTTTTATCAATTAGCTTTATCTGTAAATATTTATACTTTCAAAAAGAATAGTCTCTCCTTTTTTTTTCAAAATAAGTAGAATATTTGGGATAGTCTTGTGAGTTTAAAAAAAAAAAATTTTTGGAGATATTTTAAAAAGATAATAATTGCAAAAATTTCCATATGACATGATTGAACTTTCCAATTCTATATTGATCAGCATAAAATGCAGTATATTTTTAACTTATGTAAGACTGAATCTATTAAAACGAAATTTATATCGGGAGATGGAAAGGGTAAAATAAATCATCGAATATAGATAGCATTCAGTAAAACAAAACCGATGGCATCACTTTGATCAGATTTGACCAAATAGTTTTGGAATGTTTGCATTAAAGAAGATTTGAGTGACAAAATGCTTCTTATTTAACATTTAGAAACTCTTCTTGAGGAAACATAGTGCTTTTGTGCTTGTTTTACTGCAATATGCCTCCTCGTAGTTTCATGAATCCCATATTTACATTCTGTCTGTCTATATGAGCATCTGGATGCATGGGGGTCCTTCATTTATGTATTCTTTAATTCTTTATGCCATTTTTCTCTAATCTTTATACTTTTTGCCTATCATTCTCTATTTTTTTTATTTTAGCACCTAATTATTCTCTATTCTTTATTTTTTTGGTCAATTTTTCTCTATTCTGTAAACCCCCATCCACACCCTCTATATAGAAGAAGAATATGTTATTCCAATTAAGGGCCCCAAAGGGCAAACATGGTTGTCTTGGCAATGACATCCATAATTTGAGATGAAAACAAATAACATTCCATAAAAACAAGTCAATTACAAGTAGAATTATAAGTATAAAGGGGATGTGAAATTATTGCATATGAGACAACTATCCGCTAAAATGAAGAATGAAGGAAACCGGGTGCTTTTGTGCTTGTTCTAATGAACATGCACTCCCCATTTGTAGTTGTCAAAATTCCACTTTTATATTTTAATTGGGTTAACAAAAATGTTTTTCTATAGAAATGCTCAGTCGTGTAGAATATATTATTTTCATTGACCGTCTGTCTTTCAACAGTTTATTTATGGGTATAACAAATCAATATTGTTATCACTAGTATTTTGAATTTTGTGTGACCGCTATGTAGATTGAGACAGTAAATTTTCAATACGTAGTTTGCTAAACAGGTCGGGAAAACTTGATTTATAGTTAACAGGATTTTCCATAATGATTATTTATACTTTAAAAAATCACCGAATTAAATTTGAAAATTGAGAAAACATGTATGAATACTAAATAACCAAATAATGATTCAATCACTGTACAAGAGTTGAGTGACCTGGACTTTTTTTTTTTAAATAAAAAAAATTCTGAAATCAGATTGAGTGAACTTTTTTTTGTTCTTCTCGAGGTAGAAAAAAAGGTCTTCACGTTATTCTTGTACTGCACTTATTTTATATTGTAATTCAGAAAAATGAAAATGAAAACATGCAATTTTCTTCTTTGTGGCCCATCACGTTATAGATACCTAAGTTATAACCCCTTTCTCTTCTTTGTGGCCCATCACGTTATAGATACCGAAGTTATAACCCCTTCCTATTCTTTGTGGCCCATCACGTTATAGATACCGAAGTTATAACCTCTTACTCTTCTTTGTGGCCCATCACCTTAAAGATACCGAAGTTATAACCTCTTACTCTTCTTTGTGGCCCATCACCTTATAAATACCGAAGTTATAACCTCTTACTCTTCTTTGTGGCCCATCGCCTTATAAATACCGAAGTTATAACCTCTTACTCTTCTTTGTGGCCCATCGCCTTATAAATACCGAAGTTATAACCTCTTACTCTTCTTTGTGGCCCATCGCCTTATAAATACCGAAATTATAACCTCTTACTCTTCTTTGTGGCCCATCACCTTATAAATATCGAAGTTATAACCTCTTACTCTTCTTTGTGGCCCATCACCTTATAGCTACCGAAGTTATAACCTCTTACTCTTCTTTGTGGCCCATCGCCTTATAAATACCGAAGTTATAACCCCTTACTCTTCTTTGTGGCCCATCGCCTTATAAATACCGAAGTTATAACCTCTTACTCTTCTTTGTGGCCCATCACCTTATAAATACCGAAGTTATAACCTCTTACTCTTCTTTATGGCCCCTCACCTTATAGATACCGAAGTTATAACCTCTTACTCTTCTTTGTGGCCCCTCACCTTATAGATACCGAAGTTATAACCTCTTACTTATACATATTTTGTGTTGTAACCTCAGTTTGGTCCATTATCCCTATAATTTATGAAAGTTTAGCATAGCTGACTTTTGCCGCAAACCGTGGTCCAGATTTTCCCTCTGTCTAGGGAATCAATATAAACCTCGACACATTTTGGTTACAGAACATTTTTAATAGTAGGTTGTCCTCATGCTTTTAGGTTCGACAAATGTACAAAATCATCTGTTTTAGCCAAAATCTCCAAAACGTGTTGACTTTTGATCCTATAATGTACTCATATGAAGAAATTAGTTTCACCTAGCATCAAGACTTGTGAAATTGATCCATTTAAAAATCAAACTGTGGCCTTTTTGATATTTTATGATCAAGTTGAAATGCAAGGCCATATTTTGAGAAAAAAGAAAAAAGAAAAAAAAAAAAAAAAAAAACAGCAAAAAACAGGTGAGTATATAACTTTCTATTATTTGCGACAAATATCAAGAGAGTTGGAAAGCTCTAGACAGTTTGAAGTGGAGAGCTTACTTTATTTTAGTTTTTTTTATTCTACATAAACGTTTGGTTTTAATCTTACAAACGTGATGGAAGTAAACCATACATGTTGGAAAGCTTTGTAAAATAAATAGTACTAAAATAATAGGAAAGAACGGTTATGGGGTATTCATCCATGACCCGAAATCAGTACATGCACAGCAAATAACACAAAAAGCAAAACATACAGTGCTTTAAATTGATGTTCTTTATCTCAAAAACATATTTGCTGAGTAAAATCTATCTTCAACAGATCAATTTATAATTTTTGAGGTGGCGTATCATACTGTTTGTTTTTAGACTCTTCACAATTATTTTTATTGTAAATTTCATTCTTCTCGCATTATATTGGTCAACAGGAAAGGAGGTAGCTTAGAGAAATATAGAAAAACTGCTACATATGTAATTCTAGGATTAGTGTATTAATTACTGCATGCAATAAATCCACTTGAAAGTTTTACTTTAACGATTGCTTGGATATACAAATGTATGCAATTGGTCGATCTGAACCATGACTTTATATCTTAAAGGACTTGGTGAGAATGTATCGATGTCTGTACGTTAAAAAATCTTTAAAAAAAAATGTTTGACGGGTCCGTTATATTGATCGGTTGCATGATAGCATTGATTAACTGTTATACCTTCCAAGAAAGAGATTGTTTTTGAAAATCAGTCATATCATGATGCATATTTGCATATCGTCCTTAGTTTACATAAAACTGTATGTTTCTAGTTTACTTGTTATGTTAGATTGCTGCATCATTGTTGTTAACCTTACCTCATATTTTTTTTAATTATGTCCAAAGTCAGTAACCTTTTTTAATCTTATATGATGTACACAACACATTTCATTCTTTCTGTGGTCCAACTATTACATTGTTTTTAAGATTACTCAAGGATGAACAAATATCAACCATTGCAGATTGCTTGCATAATTGCTTCATGTCCAGTGGCCAATATGTCATGCATATTTAGGACGAGAAAGCATTACCGATAAATCGAATGGGAAGGTTTCGTAAAGAAGGTGGACCAGCATGAGAGGCAGATTATTTTGATTGCTTTTTGAAAGGGGTATTCTACGTCTGGGTAGATCTGCATTACAAAAGCCCACCTACATACCCCTCGAAAAGTTGTGGCAAGAGAGCGTGTCATTCTCCTTACAAGAGGCATCGTATTGAACCCCATTTGAATTGGACGTGGCTTCGTTTTTATACATCCCACACAGCAAAAGGAACCAAAATATATGTCTTATGTTTTTATACATTGAAATTGTGTACAGTTAGCTCTCGGGATTGAGAAAACTATCGTTTAAGGGACTTGTGTCTGTTCTACATGTTCTTACCGGCATTTTCTATTAAAATATCATTTGTTGATATTAATATATTTATGTAGGGAGGGGATACGTCAACGGGACAATAACTCAACCACAAATTACTTATAGACAACTTAAGGTAAACCTGTTAGAGAAATTATTAGACATTATTATACTTAGTTCCTTGATAATAAGAATTCTTTATTTTGACATTATTTAGGGGAAAACGTTCCTTGTGTCTGACAGTCAGTAAAGCTGTTATTATCAGTAGACATTCGACCAGTTAATTAAAAGTATGTTAATGTGAGTAAGAGAAACCCAGTGCAATGACCAGTACAGCTGCTATTTATAGTATGCTTTCGACCCGTCAACCAATAGTATGTCCCGAATGTGACTAGGCGAAGCTTGTAGCAATAGCAGTTTATTTGCCTGTCTTGCAACAGGAAAGAAATTAAGGATTAATACCATTTTTTTTCTTCTCATTACAGTCATTCCATGCCACTCCTTATTGAGAGAATTTCAAACCTTTATACGAATATAAATAGTAATTTCACTGATGCACATTGTGGTGCACTCTATCTTTATAATGTTTAATAGGAAATATATTCTCTCTCTCTCTCTCTCTCTCTCTCTCTCATACAAGTTTCAAGTTATGATATGACCACAAACTTAAACCTAATACATGTACGGTACGGACGATGTATAGTAATTGTTGTATATGCACATACATTATACATGTATTTAAGTATTGAAAAGAATGATTATATTGCGCAGTAATTGTTGCATTTAAATTATAAAAAATATCTTTGTTTTTCTCAACCCTTTATTATATAATATATGTACAGTTCATTAATCAGTAAACCGGGAAGAAGGGACGTTCATTGGTTAACTTAACAATCAAACGGAAGTATCGATCTTCACATGTTTACAAAAATATAACTGAATTTTAAGAAATAAAGAATAACAATTACATCAAAATATTAAATCTATTTGTTTTTAATTTCAATATTTTGCATTATTGTGTTCGTTTTTTATCATAATTTTAAATCCCCGGGGATTAAACTTGTATTTAAGACTATCCTTTCTCGATAACAAACCTGTTTACTTAGAACTAATGACAAAATTTCTCGGAATGCATTAGGTTTTAATTTGAAATCAATGCATGCGCAAATTTTACGCTAATACTATCAAACTTATTTAGAGAACTAACTTTATTCTCTTAATTTGTTGGTAGATTGGAACAAAGCAGAAAAATGAGGTAAAGTCGTTATTTATTGTTTGTGTTGGGGATTTCTTCTTATTTATTGTTTTTTATATAGAGGGGGAGGGTGTTAAAAAATGTCACAAGATATAATTCATAGATGCAAAATATGAAAACAGACAAAAGATATAATGCATGAAAAGTTTGTTCAAATACGGAAAATTAGCGTGCGCACTGACAAACTGGGTTCAAACTCGGGGAATACCCTTTTCAGAAAACCAGCCTGATAAAATGTCTGGTAGTAAGTATATTGAAAATTTTTAAAACTCATCCCCCATAATTATTTTCCAATTCTGGTATCCTTGAAAAGCGCATTTACTTTATTGTTTTTAATGTAAAGAGTAATAGCAGGTGAAATGCACACGCGAAAATTTTTCAACCCTCGCCGATAAAATTTGTGGATTAACCAAAATGCATTGTTCTAACACTGATTATACTTACCGCTTATCGTTAGCTAACTCCTTAACCTTTTCTAACAATTGAAGAACATTACTTTTTTATCTAGAAATTTTCTTTTTCTTCATGAACACATATATAACGTTAAGCACTATTCTGATGCCACAGACCTGATTTATTTTTACACAAACTTATTTTATTAGTTATATAAGCGTGATGCTGTTCTGGTAAGTTCTGATTTAAAATATTTGCTATCATTATTGTTTTTTTTGTTGCTTTTATTATAGAAGTGTTTTTTTTTTTCCTTTTTTTTTAATTTGGGGTCTTAATATTTGCAACAAGATCGCCATAGCAGTCAATTGTATACATGCGTCGGTTGCATGATCCTCTATTGTGGTCAATACTTTGGCTCAAATACAGGAAATCTACCTAGGCCACATGTTTCAATTCAATAAAGGTCAATATGGTATATACTTTTATTTCTTGTTGTGAAATAAGGTGTCACTGAGCCGAAGGATGTACCGGTAATGATCGTTATTCTGACCCTTGAATACTGAGAAGTGTATTGTCTTTTAATTTTCAAAATAAAAATTCAGTCTTATCATTAATTACAAAATAAAACGGATCTTTATTTTTCATACTAAATGCATAGGCCAGCAAACACTTGAAATTCACTAAATGACCAAGGCAAAAGTAGGATTAAGGAGAGTACAAGATACACACCGAGAGATATTGGAACTTTCAAAACTTGAGCGTTATGCTCTTATTTCATATAGCTTACGATGCAATATATGTATTTAAATATATTTTCAGTATTCCAAATTTTCAGGTCAATAATAAATGTTTACCAAGCTCCTAATTCGATCCATAATAAAAATAATAAAAAAAAATAAAAGTTTTATTTATTTTTTTTTTTTTGTCTTTTTTATTTATTTATTTATTTAATTTGATTCTGTTTTATTTCATAGAATGAGAACACATTAATTATCCTGCACTGGACTGAAATTAAACAAAAATGAATATAATTATAAAAAAAAGTTTTAAAAATTTCATTTAAAAACAACATAGAACTGACTAAATGGACAAAATATTGCAAAAAATTCGAATGAAATAAAAAGGAAAATACATAGTGTTGAAAACATAAAAACTGAAATCATACAAGCCTGACTCAGTGTTTATAGATATGTTAGAATCATTAAAACTTCTTTAATGCCTATATATAAGTTATTTTTTAGGAAAACATTCATAACAACCAAAAGAAAAGAAATATTAAAAGAAAGCGACATACTAAAGTTTACATTAACAAAACGCAAAAAAAAAACTTTTTAAATAAAATTACAACAAACGAACTTTGAACATACATTTTTATATATTAACCTCTACAATTTGGAATACATTTTAAATAAGAACTTTTAAACTGCCCAAAATCCGTCACATTCTGAAAGTAATATTCATGATTTTTTATTTAAAATTTATCAATTTTTGTCTCATCTAAAGCTTAATTTTTAAAAATGACAAAATAAAAATAAAAATTATTTCACTATAGAAGCATATCATCTGATATTATTAATTTAGAATCGTTGAATAGAGTTGAATCTTTTTGTAACTTTTATTTAATAATTCAACAATATATATTTAAGTAGACTCACTTAGATTCTTTAATGCATTCTGTAGTATTATACATATTGGTGAACCATCTCTTAATAATCACTGTAGACTATATTTGCAACTTGCAATGTCTTATAAGATCAGAGAATCGCATGCTTTTCAGTAAAACAATTATTGCAAGTATTGTTCCAATGTGTCAATTTGAAAACAAAAATGATGGCTTCCACACGAGATATAACAGGTATGACAGAACTGTCCCCCGAATTATTTTTTGTCATAGTTTCAAAACTTTAGCCTTTTGAAAAGAAACTGTTTCTTATTTTTACAGTCTCTATAAAATTTTCTTTTGTATACCTAAGAATAAATGCCCTCTTTTTGTTTCTAACATAGCTGGTTGGAAACATATACTAGTACCTTATAACGAATTTTCATATTTCTTCAATCAAAACCCGACTTTTCCTAGTTTTGGTTTGAACTTACTTGAATACATCTATAAAATATTGCACCAAATACATAAATCAATAAATCAATAAAAATATATATTGTATGGAGTCAAATCAGAAAAAAATAATTAATAATGAACCGATTATCTGACCACGGATCTGACAGAAGTGTTTTAGTCAGAAATCATCCGAAATAGAGAGTACGTAAGTTTGAAGCAACATTTATTCATAAACTTAATGAAAGAGTTATTTTAATGTAATGCACATTTCTAAATTAAATTAACGAAAAAAGGAATGTTTAATCTCCTCTGAATGTACTTCACTTACGAAGTCAAAATCCAAAATATAATGGAACTTGATGAATTTGAATATTTAAGAGTCTGAGTAAGGAACATCCTAATTTTCGAACATATATCAATGAAATCAAAACCATAATTAGTTTTTAACATTACTGCTGAGGACTGATATCATTTTGGTTTAGAATGTCCTGATGATAAATTTTAAGAAGTATACTCAAAATTTGCTAAAATCTTTCGGAAGTATTTAGTCATCTTTAAAAAAGCTCTAAAGTTTGAAATAAGTTCCTTGGAGACTGACCCAGTCTATTATTTTTATACGATATCTGTAGGTTCCAGAAAAAAACCCATCTCAGATATGCATGTTAAAGAGAGGCGAAAGATACCAAAGGGACATTCAAACTCATAAGTCGAAAATCAAATAACAACGCCATGACAAAAAAGAAAAAGACCAAAAACACAAACAACAGTATACAAAACGCAACATAGAAAACTAAAGGCTGAGCAACACGAATCCCAACCTGGGGGGTGATTTCAGGTGCTTCGGAAGGGTAAAGTTATAAGTTAATATAACAATTAATATTATATAAATGATTGAGTTATATACCAGTTTTAATTTTCAATTATAAATTTTACATTTTGAAAAATAAAAATGCCATGTTCTGTAAATTTAAGGAGATGACAGTTATTAGAAAACAAAATTAGCACATTTCATGCACAGTCAATTTTAACGAAACTTATTGAAATTGTATCAGTACATATAGCAGAAACAATAGAAGGAAAAAAATGATAAAGAACAAAAATGAAAAAATCTCTTCTAGAACAGCTGTAATAATATTCTGCCAAAGAAACTCTAATTCTTGGAGAACAGGATTTATTTATTAATTATAATTGGCTTTGAACTCGCTTTAAATAACTTCAAGTATTCTTAGATTGGTACTTTGTGTCTTGTTTTTATTTTAGTTGTTTTTGGGCTTCGTACCAATCTGTTGAAATTAAGCAATTTCCAACTGATTTTAACAGTTTGTTCTTATGTTGCGCTGTTACATCATATCAAAGGTTATGGGTAGGGTTGGATATACGCAGACATGTTTAATCCCGCAACATTTTTTATGTGCTTGTCCCAAGTCAGGATCCTGTGATTCACTGTTTGTCGTTTGTTTTCTGTCTTTCATATTTGTTTTTCGTAAAGAATTTTGTCATAAATCATGTCTTTGGTTTTCGCGTTTGAATTGTTTCACATTTTGTCATCTCGAAACCTTTTATAGTCGACTAAATATTGTGGCTTTTGCTGATTGTTGAAGGCCGTATAATGATATTTATAGTTGTTTACATCCATTTGGACATGGGTGGATGTTTGTTTCTTTTGGCAATAATAGCACATCTGATACTTTTATATCAATTAGTATTGGTAAATTACATAAAGGTTAGTTAGGATAAGGTTAACATAAAGTTCTCTTAGACTTGAAAAGATGTAACTAATATCATTGAATAATGCATATTCCATCTTTTCCATATTTCTTTTAATGAATGTAATTGGGAGATTCTCTCGTATTACATGATTTCTTGAAAATACGAAAACATTAATGAAAAATCAGTATCATTATCATCTGAATTTCAAAACAAGCAAGTGTAAAACCACCTCTAGAAAGAATATATAACTTCACATATCATGTAAAGACATTTTGAAATGACAGACATGATTCCTTTTATATTCAAACAATTTGAAATAATAAATATTGTTAATCAATTTGCCTTTCATTTTTTAACTTTTGGATAAAAGTCGTTAAGTGTCTAGCACTTTCTGCAATACCCTACAATTACTATCAATATAATTAATGCCAATTCGTTAATACAGACCAAACAAAAGGAATTTATTGATTCACATGCATATAGAAATAAATTTTCAGCTAGTTCTCATTTTATAAATATAGGAACTGTCACCGTCAAGGGGTTTCTATATGTTTTAATTTATCCATGTATACGTATACTCTTTGTATCTTTATTGAAATTGAGAACTACTTTTATGATTGTCTCTGAACGCAGAGAAATTAATTTAAGTTTTCAACTAAATATACATGCTTATGTTGTTCAATAACGTTTTGGAAATCAGTATAATATATTTCAAGTCTCGTCCATGAACGTTTATTGGTTTGTCTCTACTAAACCATCAGATATACATATTATTTTTAATAGAGTCTTTTATTAGTGTGAGAATGAATATAACAATACAGTTTGAATATCAAAGGAACGA